TTCTGTACAGAAATACTAATTTATGTATCTTTTTAACAATTGTTTGAGTGTTAGCATTCTATTTTTTATATTTTTAATGGTTCCTTATACACAATAAATGTCCAATAAATGTTCATCACTTTGAAAAAGAGAAATTCTAGTGTATAAAGCTGGAGATGTAACACAGGAGTTAAGGCATTTGCCTTGTACATAGGCAACCCTGATTTGATCCCTGGCACCAAATATGGACCCATAAGCAAGCCGAGAACGATTTGTGAATACAGAGCCAAGAATAAGCCCTGAGCACTGCCAGGTGTAGCCCAAATATATCCCCCACAAAAAGAAAGAAATTATAATGCATATTAAAAACTCAATAAATAATAAAGTAGATAAGAATAAAAGTATGTGAATATATAGAACCAACTCTGAACTCTGGCGATCTCAGTGATGGGGATATCTATTGGTCTTGTTTTCTCTCTGTATTTTCTCATTCTGCTTTCCTCAGGAAGCTGAGGAACATAACATGATCAAACATGATCCAAATATGCACTACCTGGACTTGATTCCTAGATGATCTATTTACGGACTTGGATGGATGTTTGTGCCTAGCCAGATTATTAGGACAAATCCTTAAATGCTGCCCTGCAGGACCCTACTTTGAACTAAGTGGGCAAGCTGGAGCTTGTGAGTCTGATTAATCTAGAAAGGGTTTAACAGTTCTTTCTACATCTGCATTGGTCATACATTAACTCCTGGCAGCACAAGAAAACAGCCTTCCTAAATAGCCCTCCTGCTTATCACAGACCCCAGGTGTGAGGAGGTTGTAACCTATGGAGCCTACATGCACGACCATGCATTCCTCCCCAGAGATAGTAGCTATTTGCTTCATGGGCATGGAAGGACAATGTATGCTTTGATGTCCTTGCGAGAATGCCCCCACATTTCTTTGTTAATGATTCTTTCTGTTCTGCTGAATTCTCTGGAGAGGTTTACTATAGAAAAGAAGATAAAAAGAGACTCAGATGCTGTTCTTGTCCATAAGCCTAGAGAGCTGTGGTCCTCCAGCCTTCACCATTTCTCTCACTTGACCAGCCTCTACGCCTCCAACCGACTGATCGCTTGTTCATGCAACATCTCGTTCATGCAACAGATGGACAACTTACGTCCTCTCTCCATATTCAAATCAGATAAGGTGGTTATACAATTCACACGAGATGCTGTGAGAATTACTGAAGTTAAACACACAAAGCCTGCTTGTCAGGTTGCTTTTAGTTGCATTATCGGTTTCACCACCAGTGCTAACAGCTGCAGGCAATGGTATCAGAGAGAAACAACTTATATATTTATTTATTAATTACTTTTATTGAATCATGTTGAGAAACACAGTTACAAAGCTGTACACAATCAGGTTTTAGTCATACTATGTTCCAACACCCATCCCTCTACCAGTGTACATTTCACACCACCAATGTCCCCTGTTTCCCGATCCTGCCACCTCACCCATTAGGACTGTCTCTATAATTGGCATTTTCTTTTTATCTCCCACTCTTTCTCTCCTTTTGGGCATTATGGTTTGCAATACTATAATACTATAGACTTAAAGATCCACAGGCAAGTTAAAAAAAAGAATTTTACCCAATTTCACCCATGCTTCTCACCTGTAAGTCCCAGTAGTGGAGTCAACTGCAGGTGGAGAGGAAGAAGGTAGAGCCAGAAGATCAAGACTGACATCCTGGACACCCGAAGAACCTGAAGTATTGAGTCTGTGTGCTGGCAGAACCAAATCTTCTCTGTGCAGAGAATGTTGCCCTGTGCAAGCTTTCGTGACATGAGAGGAAGTGACTCTCACCAGTAAAATGACCACAAGACAGTAACCTCCTCTAAATCTAGGCATTTCAAGCTTGCTTCTTCAATTTGAAAGAGACGCCATGCAGGGAAGGGGTTAAAGCTGAGAAGTTACACATCAAATGTCATCAGTGAGACTTGCTCAAGCCTATTAGAGATAATGCTTCCTCTTCACCTTGTTTCCCATGCTGTCTCTACTTGACCTTTCATACATCTTGGAATTTTCATGGGGATTTCACACTCAGGAGTTCCCGGGTAAAGAGTGATGTCAGGCTGTGAGTTGTGTCCCAGACTCCCAAGCTTAGGGCTCCTGACTATGATGGGCTTATAGTTACATCCTGCAGGCACGGTTCAGAAGATTTGCAGATTATTTAGGGGAGCTGGACAACTTTGAGATAGAGTCATATGGTTTCTGAAAAGCCTCCCTATTCCAACCATTCATTAATGTCACTGGCAACATGTAGTGTTGATGTAAGAGTACAGTTGGATGTTCCCCTAAATGATAAAAGAAGCCAGTTTCTTCCTTGTTCCCGAAGATGACATGTTTAGGCAAGTATGTGAGACTAAGAGTCAGAACCTGGATCTAGTGATGCAGTGCCAGGTCCAGAGAATATGAATTTTGTGTCTCAGCAATTAGACTGTCGGGCACTTATCTGAGAAATGAAAACTGTGTCATACAATAACCAATGAATTAGCATATGTGGTAGTTGTTTTGGGGTAATAACCCAACTAAAAGTAATTGCAATGTCCACTAAGTGTTTGGTTAGTCTGGTGTGCTGGGGACCAGCGCAGATGAACAGGATCAAAGCAGGTGAACCACAGGATTAAGAAACAAGATAGAAGTGAGAGTATAAAGAGTGTGGTCAGGGGGAGAAGTTCAGTTTTTTTTTTTAATAGGTTCAGCAGTCATTTTTTTTATAGGTTCGACCTATAGTATAGCTATTAGGGCCTTCCCCTTTCACATGGTAGTCCAGGTTCAGTTCCTGTCTTCAAGAGGAAGCACTGAGCACCACAGGGTGTAGCCCCTATACAAAAATCAGTATATAAAAAAATCAATGAACAATAGGAGGACAGTAACAGTGATAGCAGTGTGAGGTTAGATTGTTTCTAGTTAGCATCTTTTCCCCTATTAACAAAAGTTTTGTTAGGAACTTCTTTCGGTCTAGTAGCTTTTTGTGTGTCATATAGCTTAAGCTAGTGTATGCTGTCATTCTCATTCATTTTGAGGAATCTTTGAATTGTTTCTTCTTTTTTTTTTTTTGTAATGCAAGCCCTTGCATGGCAATCCAAATTTATCAAACTACTGATGCTAAGTTATACAAAATTGCACCACTTTAATTAAGGCTTTTAGTTTACATTTGGCCACCTCCAAGTAGTTGTAACATTAGGTTGGTCAATTTAAATACTGTGGCTCCCTGTTGGATAAACACACAATATTTACACCCAAATGTTAATGCATACAAAGCAACAAGGCATTGTTAAATAAAACAACAATAGTTACTGCAACTTAGGCCTTGTAACAAATTACACACAATTAAAATTACTTCCCACATTCACATCCACAGTACTCATCCACCATTTAACATCTCAACCAAAACGTTACACATGTGAGACAATCACTAACAGGCAAAAGTATAAACCTGTATATTTGGTATCGCAAATGCACTTATGCGTGAGCAAGCAAGGGATTCACAGTGAGAATCTACAGCTGCAGAAGCCTGAAGATGATTTACAAAAATTGTCAAATCATTAAAAAATTGTTTGAAAATATACACTTCTTGTTGTAGACCCCCACTGTACACACATCTATAAACATTGTTCCCTATGTAAACAAAAAAGGAAACATACAATAAGACATTTGAAAAGTCTGGACATTTCCTTCCCAACAGATATTAAAGGCAACGTCTTTAATCTAAGACACTATACTGATAGGACTATCATATTTTAAAGACAAGGTCACTGTCTCCACAGGTTTTTTAAAAAATTAAAAAAAACTATATAGCTGTGTTAATCAAAGCGCTTATTTGTACAATACAATGATAATGACCTTGAATTTCTTTTAAAAATTACAATAAGCTACAAGTATCAAAGAATCAAAGTTATCTGGAGTAGTCTATATAGGAGCTCTTTGGACTTTTTTATTATGCTAAAATAGTGGTGCTTTTAGGATTTACATTATTGTACTCTCCAATACGAATTATGGGGCATGTTAAAGTACACAGTACACCATTTTCAGACATGTACAACATTGTTTGATGAGAAATGTCTCTTAGCAGTAATACTGGATTGTAGCCCCTGGTTTGACCAGTTGCATACTCTAGGACTATTATATAAGTAAAAATCTCTCTTGTGATACTGGAAAGTGTTTAGAATGTGCAAACTGATGTAGATCAGGAAACTTCATTTAAGATGTTGGTAGGATTACTAAAGTTGGAATGCTGGCACTGTTGAATTGGGCAACAGTTCTTCAGACCTGGCTCAAAGCTACAACACATTTCCTGTATTAAAGCAGCTGACAGGAGGACTTTTTGCGGGCCTTCCCAGGCACTGGAGTTTTTCTGTTAATTTGCCTCACTACATTATAAAAGATCTCATTAACATTTATTTTTGATTTTGCAGAGGACTCTAAGAATGTACAGTTGTTCCATTGTCTTGCTCGATTTTGACCTTGTTCCTTTCCTACAACTCTTCCATCTTCCAAATCACACTTATTACCAACTAGAATCATTGGAACCTCATCAGTGTCTTTAACTCGAAGAATCTGTTCTCTCAGATCTTGTAAATCATTAAATGGAGACTGTGCTGTGATAGAATACCCTAATGCAAAGCCTTGTACACTTTTCATGTACAAATCCCTCATTGCTGTAAATTGTTCCGTTCCTGCAGTATCCAAGATTTCAAGCATACATTGTTGTGCATCTACATCAGCTTGCTTTCTCTAAGTCTTCTATCGTAGGATCATATTTTTCAACAAAATTCCTTGAACAAACTGTATAGTCAGAGCAGATTTTCCTACGCCTTCTGAGCCGAGAACCACAGGCTTATATTCACGCATGGTGCAAAAGTGTCAAACGCTAGTACCTCTCACGCTGTTACCGGGTTTCCAAGGCCAGCGTCGCCCGCACCTTGCGCTGCCTCCGCGCCGCTACTCTGCACCTTGCGCTGCCTCCGCGCCGCTACTCCCGCACCAGGGTGGTCCAGCCACTGCTGCCGCCGCCGCCGCCGCGGGCTGGTTTACACATCTCTGAATTGTTTTTGACATCCGCTTTGATCCGGGAATTATTCAATAATGTTTATTTTCCAAACACTTGAATTTGTTTGCTCTTTTTTTGTGGTTAATTTCTCCCCTTATAGCATTGTGACTGAGAAGAGACTGGAGAGCATTTCTATTTTTTTGACTGTATGTACAATTGTCGTTTTGTCCTCGTATGTGATCTATCCCAGAGAACATCTCTCTGTATTAGATAATAATGTGTAGTTACATTTTGGAGTACTTGGGTTAGGAGTTGAAAGCTCTGGTACCTATACATAATCACACTTCCAATCCCTCATTGAGGGCTTAAGCAGTATTTTTCATCCCCTAAGAACTTAATATACATTTTTCTTCAGTTCACATGGGACATCTCCAAGATAAAACACATTCTGGGCTCCAAAACATACCTCCATAAAATTAAGATGATAGAAATTATATCACCATCTTTTTAGACCACATGCAATGACAATAGCAGTGAATCACACACAGAAATAGAGAGTCAAATTAAAGACCTGGAGATTAAACAGCTCATTGCTGAACAACGAGTGGGTCAGAGAGGAAATCAAAGAGGAAATTGAAAGATTCCTGAAAACAAATGCGAATGAGGTCACAAGATTCTAGAACTAGTGGGATACAGCAAAAGCAGTATTAAGAGGAAATTTATAGCTCTACAAGCATTCATCGGGAAAGAAGAAAGGGCTCACATTAGTAACTTAACCTCACAGTTTAAGAGCTTGGAAAATGATCAACAAAAGAAGCTCAAACAAGCAGGAGAAAGAAAATAATAAAAGTTAAAGCAGAAATCAACGAGCTGCAACCAGAAAACAATCCAAGATATCAATGAAACCAAGATCTGGTTCTTTAAGAAAATAAACAAGACTGATAAACCACTACCAAGACCAACAAAAAAACAGAGAGAGAGAGAGAGGAATCTAATAAACTGTACCAGAAATGCCAAGGTGGACATAACAACAGAAACTGCAGAAATCCTTAGAAATTACTTTGAAAATTTTTACAGAGAACCTTGAAGAAATGAACAAATTCCTGGATTCTTATACCTTCCCAAAAGAAATCGAGTTCATTTGGAATACCTGAACAGATCATCTTATTACCACTGAGAAAATTGAAATGTTAATCAAAAGTATTTCCCCAAACAAAACCGCAGACACAGATGGATTCACTGGTGAGTTCTTTCAAACCTTTAAAGAGCACTAATTGCTAATTCTTTTTGAGCTCTTCCTAGAAACTGAAGAAACAGAAACACCCCAAAAAAGCTTTTATGTGGCAAATATCACCCTGATACCCAAAGCAGAGACCCCACAATCAAAGAAAATTTCAATCCGATTTACCTGATGAACATATATGCAAAGATCCTCAACAAAATACTAGCAAATAGAATCCAATGACTTATCAAAAAGATCACACACCTTGACCAAGTAGGATTAATCCTGAGGGTGCAAGGATGGTTTTATATTCGCAAGTCAATCAACATAATACCATATCAACAAAAGAAAAGAGAAAAATGAATATGATCATATGAATAGGTGCAGAAAAAGTTTTGACACTCTCTAGCACCCATTCATGTTCAAAACTCTCAACAAAATGCATTCCAAGGATCTCTCATCAATACAGCCTAAACCATTTACCACAAACTCACAGCAAGCATTATTCTCAATGGGGAAAACCTAAAACTCTCTAGGTCAGGAACAAGACAAGATTGCACACTATCACCACTTCTATTCAGTATAATAATAACTGAAAGCTCTCATGATAGCAGTTTTGGAGGAAAAGGATACTAAGGGCATCCAGATAGGGAAGGAAGAGGTAAAGCTATCAATATATGCAGATGACATGATATTGTACTTAGATAACCCTAAAATCTCTACCAAAAAATTTCTAGAAATAATAGTCTTGTATAGTAGAGTGGCAGGTTACAAAATCAATACCCGAAAGTCCATGGCTTTGTTATATGCATATAATGAACAAGAAAAAAGTGTTATTAAAGAAACAATCCTGTTCACAATTGCGGCAAGAAACTCAAATACCTCAGGATCACATTAACTAAGGAGGGAAAGGACCTGTACATAAAAGAAAACTACAAAACATTACTTCAAAAAATAAGACACAAGGAACTGGAAACAGGGGATCCTGCTCATGGATTGGGAGAATTAACATCATCATAATGGCAATACTCCCCAAAGCACTGTACAGATTCAATGCTGTTCCCCTAACAATACCCATAACATTTCTCAAAGAAATTGATCAAAACTATCCTGAAATAAATATGGAACAATAAAGCCCCACGAATAATTAAAGCTGTTTTGAGAAAAAGAAGATGAGTGACATCACCTTCCCCCAATTCATACTCTACTACAAAGTCATAGTAATTAAAACGGTATCATATTGGAATAAAGACAGACCTGCAGACCAATGAAATAGAGTTGAATATCCTGCAACAGACCTTAAAATATACAATCACCTCATCTTTGATAAGGGAGCAAGAAATATGAAGTGAAGCAAGGAAATCCCTTTTCAGAAGTGATGCTTGGAACTAGACTGTTCCATGTAAAAGACGAACTCTGACCTCTACCTAAAGCCATATACAATAGTATTCTCAAAAATAGATTAAAGATTTCAAATCAGATCTGAATCCATAAGATATATGGAAGAAAACTTGGACCAAAATCCTCCACAAAATTGAAGCTCAAGGCATCTTCAAAGTTGAAACACCGGTGGCCACGCAAGTGGAAGCAAAGATTAACAAATGGAAATACAATGAAGTAACAAGCTTCTGCACCTCAAAAGAAACAGTGACCAAGATACAAAGACAGCCCATGGAACTTGAAAAACTATTTACTCAATACACATCTGATGAGGGGTTAATATAAAAAAATATACAAGTCACTACAGAACCTTATAAAAAACAAACACCAAAACCCATTAAAAAATGGGAAGAAGAAATGAACAGAAACCTCCTCAAAAAAAATTTGATGGGCCAAAAACAACATGAAAAAGTGCTCTTCATCACTAACCATCAGAAACAACAATGAGATATCATCTCATGCCTCAGAGACTGGCACACATACAAATGAACAAGAACAACCAGTGCTGGTGAGGATTTTGGGAGAAAGGGACCCTTATTTGTTGCTGATGGGAATGTTGACTAGTCCTTTTGGAAAACAATATGGAAATTCCTCAATAAGCCAGAAATTGAGCTCTCATTTGACCCAGCAAAACCACTTCTGAGAAGATACCCTGGGGAGTCCAAGGATACCATAGAAATATCATCTGCACATCTATATTTATTACACCACTATTCACAATAGCCAGAGGCTGGAAACAACCTGAATGCCCGAGAACAGAAGTATGGATAATGAAACTGTGATATATCTACATAGTGGAATACTATACCGCTGTAAGGAAAAATGAGGTCATGAAATTTGCCTATAAATGAATAATCTTGGAGAGTATCATATTGAATAAAATGAGTCAGAAGAGAGGGACAGATATAGGATGATTGCTTTCATTTGTGGGATTTAAAGAAAACCAGTATGACACTAAAACCCATTGCCAGGGAAAATGGGTCACGGGGACTAGTCAATGGTGTTTAATGGTGTGCAGATAGATGGTAGTTGGGATAGAGGAGGATACATTATAACATTAGTTGAAAATGATCATCTGGACAAGGACTAAGTCTTAAAAGCAGGTAAAAGAATATACATGATAACCTTTCAGCATCTGTACTCAAATATAATGCCTAAACTGAGAGGAGAGAAGAGAAAGAGAGAAAAGAGGTGCCTGTCATAGAGATAGGCTGGAGTGGGGGTGACATGAAGGGGTGGGAAGTAAAACTGGGGACACTGGGTACTAAGAAATTACACTGGTGGGTATTTGAACATTGTATGACTGAAACACAATGTCAAACAATTTTGTAATGCTCTATCTCATGGTGATTCAATTAAAAATACATAAAAAAATATATCAGATGCTATAAAGAGGATGTTGGAGGTGAAAAAAATACCCCAAGTGAATTATAAGGAAAATTCCACGGGCATTGATTCATGTGGATAATTTTAATTTTGCTCAGTGAAAGTCAAATTGTACAAAATGAAGTAAATTTACTGTCACTTAAAGTTAAAATAAAATAATTAGCATAAAAGTAAGGATAATTATAGATTTAATGCTTAATTATCAATAGAGAACCTCAACAATTTGAGGATTAAAAAAGTCAGATCAGATAACTCTTGACTGTAGATTAGGGCCACCCCAGAGCAGTGAATGAGCAGTATTCTGAGATACAAAGATCTGTCTTGTTTTTCACATTCTAATGATTCTTTCTCATATTCTACGGTGATGTCAGGAGTTAATTTTCTGAGTGTTCTCTCATGAACATTGCTTCAATGTGTGGATGAAATCCCCAAACTGGGGCATCTTCATGAAGGAAGGGTATCAGGATCTTGTGGATGTCTCAGAAGAGGGAATGCATTTAAAGTAGATTCTGAAGCTTCTTCTCATCCCAACTTCTTTTGGCCACACTACACAGAAAGGGAAGGTGGCAGCAGAGACTGAGGTGGTAACAGCAGGTTTTGAGGAAATAGCTTTGGGAAACAGTTCACACTTCAGTATCTGTTTATTCAAGGAATACTTCCCTGTGTGAGTCCTGGTGCTGCTTTCCTTCTGAAGTATCTTTCCTGGAAATATGGGCATCTCCTGAGAGAGGGCTCTGCACATCAACAGTCCCCTAGGTTTTGACAACATTTTTCATCATTCCCACCCTGTCAGAAAAGGTTTCGAGAAGATAAAAATATCTCAGAGCAGCTGATATTGGATTTCTCAGAATTACTCTCGATGAGAATTCTTTATCTAATATCTCCATGATAAAATATTCTAGAAAAAGTCTCTGATACCCTTCATGCAGTTGGTCCTTATTTATCCCCCTTCTTCCTTTGCCTAGAGCTCTGTGGTAGTCTCTGAACACTCTTAATTCAGTCTTATCCCAAGGACTCATTTGT